GGGTGAGGTTGCCCAAATAGACAACATTTGTGGAGAGTTGATATAACCTGAAAGGTGAATATGGGCTTTGCCAAAGAACCAAATGTCATAGAGGAAATGTTCACGCTTTTCATGACGATTGAGCGAGGCATTACGAACATATTGGTATCCTCTGAATACGGACCGTTGAGAAATAGGAAAGTCATTGCCACAGACATCGTCTAGGGAGAGACGTCTCTCGGGGCTCATCTTCTGAATTCTGCACCCTGGTGACATTTAAAGGGGTGCGAACGGTGTGTATTTGACCTGAAGTGGTCGTTTTGTCTAGGAATTTTTATTCTACCCTTGACATCAAAGAAGGCATTGAGGGCACTCTAACATTATTTCCGTACCTTTAGCGAAACTTACGAAATGAGTTGGAGGTGAGGAAATGTTCAATACAAAAAGCTCTCTGCTCTTTATTAATCTTAATCATGGTCTGCGCAGACAAAGGAAACTTGAGAAAACTACTTACAAACTTCTGTTGGCCTGCTAGACTGCTGTGGTTTGCAATATGGCACAATCGATGGGATTTTTATTTGTAGACCTAATGCGAACTAGTGTGTCATGCTACAAAAATGGGGACAAAGCTGGAAATGGACTGTTTTTTATGCGCTATTTAGAGTAAAACAATTCTGTGGATTCATCTAAAATGAATACCAGAACAATTCTTTTTAACTTTCAATTGGTGTGTACAAATTTGAAACACGAAATTTCAGAGTGGAGGAAAATATTAAGAAAAAAAGTTGTACCGTTTTTTGGATCACCCTGTTGTTGCATATTGTCGATGTAGGTCTCTTTACTGAAACAAACAAACAAACAAACAAACAAACAAACAAAAAAACAAACAAATAAACAAGCAAGCCAGGCTGGAGGAACACCACTTCTCCTTTTGTCGATGGAAGAATATCGTAGGAAACTGTCGACCAATTCTAAGTCTAGAAAGCAATTTTTTTTTCAGAAGAGAGACAAAACTGTTTCCTTCTTTTTAAAACTGTGCCTACATTAAGCATTATATATCTTGTCTTGCCTATTTCAACAACTAGAATTCAAATTTTAAAAAAACCCATTGCATGGGTACATGCAACTGACACCACAGAACTGCTACTACCACCATCTATACCAATAGTCACAACAGCAACAACAACAACAACAGCAACAGCAGTAGTAACAGCAGCAGCAGCAGCAGTAACAACAACAACAACAACAACAACAATAAAACAACAACAACAATACTGTAACACCACCAATAACAACAAGAATAACAACAACAGCAATAGAAGCAAAAACAACAACAATACTACCATCACTACCACCACGACCACCACCATCACTACCGCCAACAAAAACAACAGCAACAACACCATCACCACCAACAACAACAACAACAACACTACCATTACAACCATCATCAAAAACGACAACAACAACAACAGCAATAATAACAACAACAACAACAACAACACCACCACTACCACTACCACCACTATCATAAAACAACAACAACTATAACAACAACAACAACACTATCACCACCACCACCGCCACCAAAAACAACCACTACCACCACCACCACTACCTTCACCCCCACCACCAAAAACAACCACCACCACCACCACCAACAAAAACGACAACGACGCACAAGATCTATACACACCTCCATGATGATGAGACTGGGTATAGAGGCGACCAGGGCGATGAGCCAGATGCCCAGCACACACATGATCACCCTGGACTTGGTCTGTTTGAAGGTCAGTGGTTGGCAGATGGCGAACCAGCGCTCCACTGACATACAAGTCAGGGTCAGCACCGACACAATCACGGACACGTTCTGGGGAAGACGAACAGTTTGATGAGAAGATTGTGGGGGAAGACAAACACTTTGGCGAGAAGATTGTGGGAACACAAACAGATTGATTAAGATGATAATAAAAACAAAAAATTGGTGTTTTACGGCGCTCGCAACTGCATAAGGTTATATTATTTATGAGCGCACGGGACACATTAAACATTTTCAGTTGGTACGAAATTTTGAATTTTGCCGGGATGGCGGCCGAATCGTGCACTTATCGATTATGGACCACGAAGGGATCTTCAACGTGTGAAACTTGCACACGGGACTTCAGAGGTTTTTTGCCTTTATCCGAGTGGGCTAGGTGTTAGATCTTACCTATCTTAAGATGAGGAGTGTGGTTGAAAGACAGCAGTAAGAAGGAGCCAAGGAGTAGCAGTAGAATTGAGAATGCCGGAAGACGTATACTTTAATGAGAGGATTGCGGAAGACAAACACATTGATTAAGATAAGAGGATTTTTTTGGTAAGTATTTTACGGCTCTGGAAACTGCATAAGGTCATAATATGAGCACTCGGGACACATTAAACATTTTCAGTAGGTACGATATTTTGAATTTTGCTCGGGTGGCGGCCGAAGCCTACTCGCATTGATTTTGGACCACCAAGGGATATTTAACGCGCGCAACCTGCACACGGAGCCTCCAAGATTTTTCGCCTTTATCCAAGTAGGCTATGTGTTAGGTTTTACCTACCATAAGATCAGGGATGCGGATGAAAGACAGCACTAAGAGTGAGCCTAGGAGTAGCAGCAGAATAACGCTTTGTAGATAAGATTGCTGGAAGACAAACACTTTGATGAGAGGGTTGAGGGGAAAAAACCCGTGCGTCGCGTCGATGGACAACGCCCAATCTGGGGTCAGAGGACATAACGTATCGTTGTGACTAGTACACCTGTATTGACGCTGCTAGATAGCAGAAGCAACAACAAAGATAACAACGACGACGACAACGACAACGACGACGACAAGAGCAAGCAGAAGAAGAAGAAGAAGAAGAAGAAGAAGAAGAAGAAGAAGAAGAAGAAGAAG